GAGGTCGTAGTGATGGCCTTTGGGAAGAGGTTGAGTGTGTGCTTGGCGAGGAATAACCAGACTGGTAGTTCCAGCCCTTTCATTTCAGCATTGGAGGTGCAGCCCTTAGATGCTTCGGTGTATAATCCCACTAACTTCACCAACTATGCCCTTGTCACTGTTGCAAGGCATAATTTTGGAGAAAAGAAGAAATCATTAGGTAAGCTATAATTTGCTCGTAATCCTCTAATCTTGTAGGGTTTTCACTAGTTAAAATCCTATTTCCCCTACTTGACAAATATATGCATTTAAATTGTCATCCACAGTTGTGTTCTTTCATTTTATTTCATTATTTATTACTACCTCCGGTCTTTAATATAAGACCCTGTTTGACTTTTATTTTGATCCTAAATATAAGACTCCAATCCACTTTGTCTCTCATATTTATACATTTTTTTCCAAAGTAGCTCTTCTAACAATGATAGTTCTAGTAATACACTTGATTAGTAAGGATATTTTAGGAAAGACAACATCTATTTAGAACAAATAACTAACTCAACTTACTTTCTTAATCTCTTCAAATTAGTCAACTGGCTCTTATAATTAGGACTGGAGGTAGTAAAATGCTTTCAATGTCTCCTTTCGATCCCATCTTCAACTATGAATCGTGTTAAATCAAAAACTGACACGACCCATGTTAGATCAGTTCTAGTCAGAAATTTTAGTTTCATGAATTTCGAAGTTTTGTATCTCTAAAATTCACCTGCACTCATGAATTTTTTGAAATTTGAATTTCTATTGAGGGCTTCTTATATCATGTGGACTGAGTGCTGGGCATAAGTTAACAAGTGTGGGTCAACGTTAAGATACATTCAATGTTAGTTAATGAATGGAGATGGGATGGGAAGATAACATTGAAAAGACTTCCATGAATAAGAGATTAATTAAACTGAAAGAACATAGAAGGCTAAATTAGAAATGGAGTTGTATTAGGTAAATTTTCTTGGTGTTTTCTATTAGATTCTTTAATCAAACCATAAGACGCAAGAAATTTTTAAAGAATCAATCATCATGTAATGCACAACTTTTTCGGAAGGGAAAAAGAAAAACAAAATGGCATATTTTAACAGGGAAAACATCTAAAAACTGTTCCTAAAATTTTGCTCATAAAATATATACCTATAGACCTATTTATCTGTCATGGACTTAGACATTTACAAAACTTTTGCTTTAGTGATGCAGAATCATATGCAAATAAAATGCTGGATTTTTTATCTGGTCATGTATGGATGATATAAATTGAAATGTGGATTAAAAAAAGAGATTCCTATGGTTAAGATGTGTGTATGTGAAACCAGCTATCCTGACGATAAATTCAACCGGATGTGGCAACCATTTCTGGACCAGAACCCTTTTGTACTGAGCCATTCGAATGTAACTTCATCTGATTTCTGGAATCTCCCGCCAGCGAATGTATTCCTATCTGGAATTACAACTAGCCGAGGGAAGGTGCTTGAACTTCAATGGCCGCTTGTGTCCCTTCCGAGCACCAACTACTACATAGCCCTATATTTTCAGGATAACAGGTCACCAAGCGCTTACAGCTGGAGGATATTTGATGTTGCTATTAACAACCAAACTTTTTTCTCCAAACTTAATGTCACAGCCAGCGGTCTTACAGTTTATGCTTCGAAGTGGCCACTCTCTGGTCAAACCAAAATCACTTTGGCCCCTAGAGAAGGGAGCCCCGTTGGACCTGTAATCATGCTGGAGAAATCTTACAGCTTCTTCCTCTGGGGGGCCATACTATTCATAGAGATGGTATCTTGTAGATCTCTCTGTACTTCTTTGCAATTTTTTGATTGAATTTTAGAATCATAATGAAGACACTCCATTACATGATCTGATTTAGTTGTTATGACGTACTGTTTATAGTGACTGCGATGGAAGAATTGGCAAGAAGTTTTGACAATCCACCTCCTGATTGGAGCGGGGATCCTTGCCTACCTAAAGAAATTCATGGACTGGAGTTCGATGTTCTGAAGAATTCATTTGTCAGGTCATCTCAGTGTAAGTTCGAGTAGTAACTAATTATTGGATTCAATTATTTGAAGTTCTGAGTTTCATTTCAATTTTTTTAAGACTCATTTAACTTATGTCAATATGCAGATGATATTGAAGTGGCGTAGTATATGCATGATTCTTACTAATAAAACTTATAAAATGGCTAAAAAGTAGACAATAGAGTGAAAATCACTCAGGTGTGTGACATGTGGTAACAAATATGGGATGAATAAGCAAATCATGCATGCCTATGATGCAAGTACGGCACTGGATGGGCGGCACCAACAGAATTGAATGATATTCTTGCGAAAGTTTAATAAAAGGGTTTATGTAAATTATTGCGTTTTAAAACTATAACAACCCTGGCGACTAACAGTTCTCCAGGACCAAATTAAAACTTGAATAAAAACTAAAGACTAGTCGAGTAATTTAACCGAACTTGAATAAAAACTAAAGACTAGTCGAGTAATTTAACCGAACTTATCCTATGCTCCTAATGTGTAATGGTGGACTCGGGCCTTTTTTAATTCTGGTTTTGGCATGAAGGAACTTGACGGACGTTGGGCTGTCTGGGTCACTTTCTCCAAGCATTGGCCATCTAACTGGGCTCATAAACCTGTAAGGAATCTATTCCTTTTATTTTAAAAATGGTAAGTAATTTATTTCTCTTGGTTACAACTCAATCATGATACCGTGTTATTGAAATTATTGGCCCCAGTTGGCTACCTGGAAACAAACTCTCAGGAGAAATCCCCGACATGTCTAAGCTGAAGGAGCTGCAATCTTTGTATGTAGACCAAGATGTTTTTATCTTCAATCCTTACTTGGCAAATCTTTGGTAAAAGTCTTGAGTATTCACAACGCGATTCATTGGAGAAAACATGACACAGGGACAACTTGATAACAAAAATAATTTTACAGAAGCTTTACCCTTTATTTTACTCCTTCTCTGAGCTTTATTAATATAGCTGCTGTGACCTGATGTTAACTTTTCTGCCTCTTTTCTTTCTTTCTTTGTTTTTATTTGGTCACTGTTCCAATGAAAGGCATTTGGAGAACAACCAGTTTAATGGGCCAATTCCTTCGTCACTTGGGAAGTTACCAAAACTGCGCGAAATGTAAGATGTTTGCCATTGCAGGGACACTGAACGGATCGATGTTATTCTCTTCTTTCTCAGGTCTTCAGCTTACTACTGAATAAGCTTTCTGCTTTGGTATGACAGATATCTCCAGAATAACAAACTAGATGGCAAAGTTCCTCCGGAGTTGCAAAACCAGAGTAGCGTGAAAGTATAACCAAGTACAGCACCTCTTCATAATCTGATAGGTTTTTTCTTCTTCTGCCTTTCAACTACGCCACACCTACTGGTATGTTTGGAAGATTTTAGAAATTATCTCCAAAGAAAAGAAAGAACTTAACCATCACTTCTGCCTCCTTCCATCCTCTTTATTATTGTTCTTTTTCGGTGAATTTCTTACTTCTCTTCCACCAAACTATGCTTTCTGACAAGGCCTTTTGTATTTTTAGGGAGGCTCCTGGAAATCACCTGTCAGAATCAGCTTTATGTCGCTGCAAAAATGATGATAGGGGAGTAATCACAAATTTCTTTGGCAATTTAGTATGTGATCAGGGAGCCTTTTAGGCCTTCAGTGCATACAAATCATTTCTGCTTTGGCATTAATTGGTGTACGGGATTCATAATGTAAATCAAAAACTAGCTTCACTAAACACTCTATCAGCAAAAAGAGCATTATTACGCCAGGTGATTCATTCTGCTTAATTTACCTGACGGTAAAAATGACTAAGGGTTGCTTATGTTTACCTTGCCATACGGATGTAATTGCCACTGAATGTGGCTGAGGGTATATAGAATTGATTATTCTAATTGTTCTCACTGTGACTCCCTTGTTCATTTCTAATACATATATGCATAATTGTTTTTATATAAGAAAAATCAACAAATCAACTTAAAAACAAACAGCAGTTTGCATAAATAAACTGTTCATATCTAGAAATTACAATCTTTGTTATTTCTTCTTGAATATATATAAAAACAGATCTCTGGACAAAAAGAAACACTGGAATGATACTTTACGACAAATCGTGTTTCCCCAACTTAATACTAGAAAAGTTTTAATTTCTTTCACAGTCTTATACTTCCTTCTGTATTTGATATAAGAGCTAGTTAATTGAGTAGATTAAGAAAACTAATTAAGTTAATTATTTGTAATAAATTGGTGTTGTCTTTTCTAAAATATCTTTACTAATCAAATGTATTGGTTAGAACTACTATTATTACAAAGACTATCTTGGAAAAAAATAGATAAATATGAGTGACAAAATGAATTGATATCTTATATTTAGGATCAAAATAAAAGTCAAACAAGCTCTTATATTAAGGATCGGAGGTAGTATGTAAGTACATATACACACACATGTATGGTCCCATACCGTACCATTTCTGTATTGATACGCATCCGTATCAGATACGATGGCATTTGTGACATATATCTCTGCATATTACTTGCAGAAAGATACGATGGGATGTTGACCTAGTGGAGCACGTGGACAAGGGATAACCACCATCACTGGTGCTGACAAATACTTCTCCTTTATTCGCTTTATCCCACCTCAGGAATTTATACTTCTTTAATTCAACTTGAAGACTCGTTCTCATTTTCTGCCACTGTCATTAAAAATATCAGTAAAACATTCTTCTAGATCAAGTCATCACCCTCAGAATGCAAATGGGACATTCCTTCCTCCCCTGAAAGGCAATTACAGGGCTTAATTAATACACCCCTGGCTTTTTAAAAAAAGAATGTATTCTTTTACCTGCCACCCTCCCTGTCCTGCTTTTTTCTCTTTCAGCATCTTCAGTTTCGTGGTCATCTGTTTTTTATCAGGGAATAACGGATAGCCTAGGATTTCTCAGATTCCTCATCTACGAAAGAACAATGAACAATGAACAATCGTTGTTTAATGTCGGCCATTTCATTTGTTATATAAGAGGCAGCATTCTATGAACCTAATAATAATCAACCATAGCAGAAGTATGTACGTAGCAGAAGAAGAAGAACAAGATCATGTCGACCACAAGCTTCCTTGATTTCCAATACGGCCTCTCAAAGAGGAAGTACCTGAGGAAGCCATCTCGGATGTTCTCCATGAAAGACCGAGTCAACTCGGGGTTGCAGAAGCCCTTGTTCCAGCCGAACGCGGAGGAGATGAAGAAAGTGTTCGACAAGTTTGACAGCAACAAGGACGGCAAGATCTCTCAGGATGAGTACAAAGCCACACTGAGAGCACTGGGGATGGGGAATATGATCCACGAAGTGCCGTCGATCTTCGGGGTGGCGGATCTGGACCGCGATGGATTCATAAACTTCAGGGAGTTCATGGAGGCGCAGAAGAAAGGAGGAGGGATAAGGACGATGGATATACAGAGCGCATTTAAGACGTTTGACAGGAATGGAGATGGGAAGATAAGTGCGCAAGAGATTCATGAAATGTTAAGGAGGCTGGGAGAGAGTTGCAGTCTGGAAGATTGCAGGAAAATGGTGAGAGCGGTAGATAGAGATGGAGATGGCATGGTTGATATGGACGAGTTCACTGCTATGATGACTCAGTCTCTCAGAACTGCCTGATTCCTGATCAAGAGAATGGTGAGTTCTATATCAAACAAACACATGTACTAGTAGATTCCTCTTGTTTTAGATGCTGCACGTAAATGTCATGTTATGTAACTTAAGTAGATCTCTCTATACTTCTTATGTCCTATAATGATATTATAAACTGAGAGCAGTGTATACTAGACTCTTAGATCCGGTTTCGTACAAAGTATTAAAAATAAAGAACACGGAATGGATTAGAAGTGAAAAACTTTGTTAAAAGAATATTTAACACGAGAGATTTTTTATTACATGAAATCAGAAAAAACTCATGTATATGGAATTGGAGAATACCATGGTGAGATGTGATATTCTCCAATCCCACCTCAGTAAATTTGTTTAATCTCATATAATAAATAATTACTCATACTAAATAGTTTTTTAATTATTTTTATTAATTACAATATTAATCCTTATCATTTATTTTTAATGCTTCGTATCAAACGTGACTTTAATGGTACACTCACGAATTGAAAAATTTTAACGATACTTTCTAAGCTGCAGAGAAAAGATTCATTAAAACATGTTTTTTAATGATTGAGAAAAGGATTAAGGTTGATTTTCATTTTGGAAGTATTGGTGAAGTTGTTGTGAATATTAGTTTTTTCCCCCTCTAATGGGGTCTCCAAGGCATAAAGAAAGAGTCATTTTATCACCATTACTATTAAAAAACAAAGGAAAAAGCAACACTCTTTTCTAAAGCGAAATTGAGTCAAAAAAACAATTTCGATACCTATAATTCTTTTCTGTGAATATTTTTAGAACAGAAAAGGCCTTTTAACCCTTTAAATAATCTAAAAAATATTACCTCCGTCTTTAATATAAGAACTAATTAGAGATTGAATTTAGTCTTAAATATAATATTACAATTCAATTTATTTCTTATCTTTTCTTAAAATATTCTTATTGGTTGTGAGAGATTTTCACTAAAAGCTAATTCCAGTCATCCCATGGAACCAGTTTCGACATTCATGACTTTAATACGTATTATAAGCTCATCAAATTTATATCATCCATATCTTATTTGGATGGTCCATATTTGATTTTTTATTATTTTTATTTGTTCAAAATAGTTATTTTAATATGTATAGAATCTAAAATAAAAATAATCTCTTAACTATAATTCTTTCAAAAAAATTAGTTTTTCTATTTAAAAATAATTAATTAAATATTTTAAATCCGGACCATTCAAATCAGATATAGATGGTTCAGATCTAATGAGTTTAAGGTGTTCATCAAAATGATGAGTACTGAAACTGATTCCGTCATCCAATATACATGATTGAATATGATAGATCAGGAAGATCAACAGATATTTATGATAAATAACCAACTTAACTAATTTTTTTAATATTTTTAAATTAGTTATGTAACTAACGGTGTTTTTCTTTTCTTTTTCTCCCGTTCCTCTTCTTCCTACATAGAAACAGTACCTTCAAGAATCTGAAAAAGGAAAAGTTAGAACTCTGTGCATGTGGGCTGGATTATAATACTGATATCAATATGATTGGCCCAGACAACGTAAACTGAATCCAGAAGTCTCCTGGGTGGCCCAACAAAAACTTCAGAATTCTCTTCAAGTGAAAGAAGGAAAACGGGTTTTTGTTACCAAAAAGAAAGAGAACGTTTTTATACTGGAAAAAAGAAAAATTTGGTAAAAATTCCCTATTTAAAAATTTAATTGAGGATCAACATATCTTCTCTATGTATGACATATATCCTGCTGTATGCAAATGATTTCTGTATTGACTTGCATATCATTGATAATATATTGCGCTTAGTAGGAGATGCGTTACACTTACGGATCATAATTACATTCGCTTAAATTTAAATATTTTTAGCTAATTAAATTTTTAAACAGAATTTTAACCAAATTTCACCCAAAACAACGTTTTGAGGTTATTTAAGGAATTTGATTTGATTTAAAATATTTGACTCTCAAATTTATAATTTTTTTTCAAACAATATATAAATGTTAATAAACCTTCTTGAATATCATGGTTTCCCATATGAATGATTAAAAATAATTATTTTAAGAAAACAAATACAAATTTTGTAAAAATAATTAATCTAATTGTTTGTCTAAGTTTTATAAATTAATTATCTAATTAACCACAGAGTACGACACAAGTTTTTTTTCGTCAAAATGAAAAGATAAAAACACATGAACTGAGACAAGTTTAATGTACTTTTTTTAATTTTGTTTTTTTTACGGGATGAGATTTTTTTGAAACCAAATTTGAGGGGAAGAGATGGGATCAATTTGCCCCCGTTACATGAAGCCGCAAGAGGATTTACGAGCGTAATTAACATTCTTTTTGTCTTACCTTTTTCTGGCCTGAATCCTTTTGTCTTATCTAACTTATTCGTAACAGGCCCTTTTTTTTTTTTCTTTTGAAAGTCCTAGAATTGTGTAAAAGATAATTAAATAATAACAATCCATTTAAAAAAAAATCTTCACTACATATAAATTTGGGTAATTCAAAATATTAAGCAATAAAGATAATATTTTAAATGTTTTTCATTTGGTTATTGATTCATATAATTCATACTAACAATTGTATATGTAAGACTTACAATATTTCTTGCTATTAAATTACATTAAAAACAAAGTTTATACAGTAGTGGGTAGGGCTTCATATGAACAGGGCTGGGCCCTTGTTGTAGCCCACTTCCCAACTCTGTCCATAGAAGCCATGACCATTTTTGTTGAGCAGAGTGAGCTTTGTTGCCCAAAAAGTGATGCCATGCTCATATCATAATGGGAAAAAAATTCATCCATACCTAAAATTACATTTCATGATTCTGTATGTTGACACGTTGAAATCATCCAGAAATAATCTAAATCAAGTCTTAACAAATATTCAATTAAATAACATCCATAATCAAATTAAAACAAGACAACTCTCAATATTGTAATTGAGGCCTTGAAATTTAAATGGTTTGCATCGATCTCACGATTTTGAAAAAAAGATGGAACATCTGAAAAAATATGAAAAAAATGACTGTAAATTTAATATATTAGCAAGTAAACAATAAAAAAAGAAATGTACTTTTAAATTTTAAAGGATGCACCGGTACAACTTACCAACTTGGTTAATCATGCTTATAAAATGACCCTTCAATCACCAATATCAATTAAATTCTCTCCTCCAGGTGTAGCAGCATCTAGGGGAAAAAAAATCAAAGAACAATTACATACCAAATTATGAAATAAGACACATATGAGTTATTAGGGTTTTGGGGGGAAGATTATTAGCAAGTTGAAGGACATTTTTTGTCTCATCAAAATTATTAAATTTGCAAAGCTTGTTAAGAAATCCAGATATTGATTATCCAGGTCGTAGCCAGTTTTGGGTACAAATTAGTGCTTCTGTCATTTTAGGGGACAAAAAACTCTAATAATGATCAACCACACATCCTTTAGTGCTAAATGCAGACTTAGAAGCAACTGTAAAAATTGGCATAGCCAATACGTCTCATGCCATGTGAGAAAGAATTTTATATTTTTTTGAATTAGTTTTCCATCATAACAGGTGATCAGACTGACTGAGGTGTGACAAAATTAAGAGGGAGATCGAGACTCTGAGAGGAAGGCTGAGGGTGAGCGGCTAGATTGAGAATTAAATTGAAAGAATTAAAAATATAAATATACTTTTATAATATATATAATATATTACTTTAATGTATAACTACAAATATCTCGAGCAGGGGCCAAATGGGCCGGGCAGGATTCCTTACTTGTAACCCGGCCTTGGCCGTGATCAACCCTTTCCAAAAGTGCCTTTTTTTATTTATTTTGGGTTTCAATTTTTCAGGGGTGGTGGGGCTTTTTTTTTTTGGGGGGTCAAACGGGCGCAACGACCAACGGGCATTGTGAACACTCCTAGTAGTCAGGATTGCCTTGCTTCATTTTTACTCTAATCCAGGAGGTGTGTATTGCATGTATATTGATTTGGCTGTTACACGCACATATATAATGTACGCACAACAATTTTCATTATATTTTTTATGCTTAAATTTTTTTGAGTACATAGGTATGATGAAAATATCGTGAGCGGGTAGGAGAGATGAACGGGGGAAAATAAAGGGATTGAAAAAGGGGGAGTTTATAATAATAGATAGGAATGACTGTATGGCCTTTCTAATAGGGACGTTGAAGAACCGGTGTGTAGATTTGAAAAAGATGATTCTCAATTATCCACCTCGTCATTACAGAGTCCATACTCTGTTATTTGAAAAATTTGGAGATGGATTCTAATTATATACCACTCTCGGTTAATTTTCTTTCTGGCTAAGATATCAAAACAAGATATTGTCATATTGTTTTTTTAAAATTATCAAATTCTTTATCATTATTTAAAATTGTGCTAAAAACCTAAGGGTGCACATGGATAGAGCTAGACAGGACAGCACTCCTACTCGAAGTATGAGTGGCCTGTATTTTGCAGCTCGCTGCCCGACTCTGCCATAGAAGCCCTAACTATTTTGGGCTGGGCATGAGCAGGTTTCGCTATTCAAATGGTGATGATTTGCCGATATCACATGTAAAAAATTTTTGTCCATACCTAAAAATTACATTTCATAATTTTATATTTTCACACATTAAAATTATCCAGAAATAATTCAAAACAAGCCTTAGAAAATATCCAAATAAATAATATTATGTAATCTATTTAGAACAAAACAACTCTCAAGATTGTAATTAAAGCCTTGAAATTCAAACGGTCTACATTAATCTCCAAAAAGTTGAGAAAAGAATAAAATATCTGAAAAAAATTGAAGAGGGGTTGAATCACATCGGGATATTCCATTGAGGGTTGGGGATAGTGATTTAATAGAAGCTTGATTATTCATTCAAGTGGCAAAAATTAAATGTTACCTAAAGAATTGCAAAAGGATACTAAAACTAAAGCAATGAGCTAACAAAAATAATGTAGACCATATAAAAATAAGGGTGAAAATAATTGTAAAAAGAAAAATAAGAAATCTCAAAATCTTATAATAATTTAATATGACCACTTTTAATATGTACACGCTTATTATGCGATACAATGCAGTTAGCAGTCCACACAACTAAACGACTTTTTTCTATCATATGACTTGTTCATAAAAAATTAATACAAAATAGCTAAATATAAATTAAATAAAAATAAAACATGTAATTCAGATAATTAAACCCCAATTTTCTTTCCCAGCTCTT